AGGCTTACTTGAAAAGTATTAGCAGGTCTGTGTCTTTATACTTCTGGCCAGGAGTGTCAACAAACTTCTTAGCAGATTCAATACTCTCAAACACAACAAATATTGATCCCTATTGAAAAGGGAAGAAAGCTCTTTTTAAAAAGTTATGTCCATATATTTTTCAACCAGAAAAAGTCTGTAACATCATACAACCATACCTTAAATGCTTTGTGCAATGTTCTTCTCATCTGAATATTTAGCACTTGACCTTTATCTTCTAACCATTCTTTTATGTCATCAAGGGTTGCATCAGTTGGGAAGCCTTTCTATGAAGAGGAAGCAATGTACAAATGACTTCTCAGGTATACAATTCATAAGAAATTCATTTTGTCTTGAAACCAAGCTAAGGATATACATATCTATCTCTTTCTCTGTCTCTTAAACATTTAACAACAGCTCTAGTTAAGAACCACTGTTCTCAGGGCGCCTGCGTGGCTCAGTTGGTTAAGTGTCCAACTTCGGCTCAGGGTCATGATCTTGCGGTTCGTGGGTTTGAGCCCTGCATTGACAGCTGACAGCTCAGAGCCTGGAGCCTGTTTCAGATTCTGTATCTCCCCTTCTCTGACCCTCCCCTGCTCACACTGTCTCTCTCTCTAAAATAAATAAAAACTATTAAAAAAAATTAAAAAGAAAAAAAAAGAACCACGGTTCTCCAATGTAATAAAAGTGACTAACTTATTTGGAATTTGCTTCAAAATCATCCACTTGGGGCACAGATAAAACAAGATTAATCATATGTTAGTAACTGAAGTTGGATAATGGTACATTATATTATATAGTCAATCTACCTTTGAAGGTCTGAAATTTTCCAGAAAAAAAAAATCTACTTAAAAAATTAATATGCTAAAGAAAATTACTATCAAGTTTAGCTATCAATAAGTCAGACGTTAAGGCACTGGGTGCTTACAATATGCCCAAGATTTTGTACAGTGGTAAATATGGGTTTTTCATTAATTCTCATAATAGTTCTATAAAGTAAAAACATCATCCTCATTTATGAAGATAAGGCTCAGACAAGTTAAAAACATTGCTCAAGAACACACAGTAAATGGTAAACCTATGATTCCTGAGTATTCTTATCCACTCTACCAAATGGTTTTTCTAAATAAATATAATTAAGATATAATTGAATGCGTCAAAGGCTCACTTACAATATAAACAGATCTGTTTTTTACATCATTCTTATATTCATCAGTCACTTCAGGGAGGGGTTTGCTTGGAGATCTTCTGATTTTAGTTTTATCTTCACTTATTTCCATGAGTTCAGCCTTTGATTTGCTCAATGCTTCTACTATCACATTAAAGTCTGTTGTTAGACGGTTTAACCTGAAGAATATATATGAAAGGATTGTAAAACTTTATGATAGCACTTGTTAACAGAAAAATCTAAAGATGATTTTAAAAAGTTTTTTACCTATTGAATTTTATCATTATCTCCAAAGGTACCCAGCCTTCATCCAGTTTAATCTGCTCCTTTAAAAATTTGTCCCGTGGCAAATTGAAGTCACCAAAATAATACTGCAAGGTAATTACATTATATTTCAGAGCTCTGTATAATATTGACCCCCAATTCTGGAGTTGTTGTTTTATTTTTTTAATTACCATTACATCACCATGTTCTTTTATTCTTTAAAAATACATGTCATTACTAAAGAAGCAATAGACATTTTCTCCTAAATAGACTATAATGAAACATTTACAATACAAATTAAAAAGATAAAACTAAAAATTGATTACTGAAACAATGTAATTAGTAGATATGTCAATAGACTATCAAGTCTTTAAAAACATAGTCAAGGATTAAGTATATGAGAAGCCTCTTGTTTCAAATCAGTGTGTGAAGAACAGATTGTTAAATAAAAAGAACTGAAATAAACTGATTGATCACTCTAATTTTTAAAAGTTAAAAAAAATAGGCAAGTGTTTATTTAAGCATAAAGGCACTCTTTCTCAGCATTAAAGCAAAAAAGACAAAAATAAAAAACTATACATGAAAAGACCCAGGTATGACTAGTTAGAATGCCAAAAAGTAACATAAAAATTAAAAGACAAAAAAGTTTGTTAATTATTCTTATAAATCAAGGGAGAAAAGAAAACTCTGAATATCCTAATAGAAACATGGATAAAGGACATTACAAATTACTAAGAATGTAACATAAACAAACATATAAAAGTTCAACCTCATTATTAATCAAGGAAATGGAATTTAAAGCAATTAGATAGCATTCTTCAACAAACTGGCCAAAATTCTAAAAACAGGACTACCTAGTACTGGCCTAACCACAGAGAAAAAACGATCATGAGGTAGAGATATAAACTGGCAATAAGTGCCAAAGGTTTTAAAAAATGTGTATAACCCTTGAGCTGGTACATCTTCTTATCAGTAAACATATTTACCAAGATTTATGTATAATGGTATTCATCATGGAGCTGTTACAGCTAAAAAATTAGAAATACCCTACATCAAATAGGGGACTGAGTAAATTATTGAGGACACAAAACTTTACTCCCCCAAAATGCATCCCATGTTTGATGGGGGAAAGGGAAAGAAAAAACTATGTTAGTGTGAGCACTGACCACGAAGTGTGAAAGGGTATTCATTAGGCTTTTAACTTTGATTACTACAGAACAGAATTTGAGAGGTGGCTGACTGTGGAAGGGACATCATTAACTCTGTCCATACACATCTTTGTACTTTCTAAACACTAAACTAAAGTTTGTAATTTTTCTTCCCAAAAGGTATAATGAAATTAGTTACAAGATGTTGTAGCACAGGACATTTTAAATGACAGAGAAGTTCAACCTAAGAAGAAAAGTTCTGAGAATTGCAAAAAACACCAAATAATATGATCTGAAGTTCCTCAGTAAGAACAGAAAACATTATGAGGAAATTTCCCACACACCCTAAATTATTGATACTGAAAAGCTTCAATTTAAATACAATACCTAAGTTCAAAAAACTGCTAAGACAGAAAACAGACACTTTCCCCCTTTCTGTTCCTCCCCCCCTCACTCTCTCCCTCTCAAAAATAAACATTAAAGAAAGAAAACAGACACTGTTAAAAGTTGTAATAGCCAAGAACTCAGCTTAACTGGGCAGAAAAATCTACTAAAGCCTTCAAACAGGTAAAGTGTTATTTAACAGGGAAGGTACTTTACAAACAATTTTTACTTCATTATGTGCCAAGAACTCTTGGGAATGTTTCACATTAACTAATGTAATCTTCACAACCACCTTAGGAGGAGAAGGGTATTATTATCCTCACTTTATATACTAGGGAACTAAAGCAAAAAAGTAACACTAGTCTAAATGTTACTTTTTGAAATGTTTGCAGGTCTTGCATTTCATAAACTGACTCCACTAATACAAAACTCTACACTATTATAAATTCTTCTAATCCAAGAATCAAAGACAAACCACAGGTTTAATAGGTCAGCACAGTAAACGTTCTTTCTGTATTTGTTTTGAGGCTCTACATTTGCTTTCAAAGAGCACATTTTTAGTTTAATATCACAAGAATCCTACCTCAATTTGATGACAGATTTTGGCCTCAAGAGCAGCCATTTTTTCATTATCCCCATTTTCAGCCATTGTGGCTATCTGTAAATTTCCCAAATTGGCATAAAGAGGTTATTATTTTTTTTACATACCACTCAAGACTAGAAGAATGTTTTAAAATTATCAATATCACACTGTTTTCTTAAAAATCAAGAATTTTTAATTTCACAGGTTCAATTTCTCTGCTCAATTCTCAAATTACAGCAAAAGAAAATGTTGGAATAAGTGATGGAACATTGAAAAGCTATAGATAATCTGCAACCCTTTCAGTAAATCACGGTTCCATCTCTGTGACACAGCAGTAGTTACCTTCACTGAGCTGATCAAGAAAGCTTTGGGCAAAAACTCCATTCAACTACTTACCAACATGTCCAGCTTTAAGCAGATCACCATCTGTCAGTTTATTTCTATCCATCTCAGTTCTATTTGTTTGGTGTGGGTTGCGCTTCTTTTAAAATTACTCATAGCTGACTTACCAAAAACTTGGTATCAGCAAAGATTACATATCATAATGATACTTGAAAGAAAATCAAATATTATCATCAGGGTTAGATTAAAATCTGTATGTTAAGGAACACATGGTAGTAATTTAAGAATCTGGGGACACTAAAATAATGTTAAGCTGAGGGTATGCCTCACCAATATATTGGTTAGTCTTACAGCCAGTTTCCTGTTTCACATCCCTGACACTGGCATTGAAGGAGAAAGGGAGATTGTGAGGCTGCTAGGGAGCACAAACCAAGTTTTCTGACTTCAAATGACTTGCCTCCGGTGTTCTATTGAAGCACTCGGCCATCCACATTTACAAAAATACATTTATAAGAACTCATCAGGATAGATTCCATTAGTTGATTCCAGTGAACTATCTTTGGGTACACTTATAAGTATCGCTTTTTACACTGTAATTGCCATGCAATAACCTGGATGCACGATGGAAGCTCCTGTAATAGGTACTGGTATGGTGCCATCCCACCACAAAATTTACTCAATCTTATGCACTGTTTGCCGACCACAACCTACATTCCTAAGTTATTACTACGATCTAGGGCCCCTTACAAGGCAAAGGATGAGAGAGAAAAGAAGGGTTCAGTCTGTATGAGGCTTCTCTGGCCTACCCAATTTTGCAACTGCATTTCATAAGATACTTTTCCAGAACGTACAACTAGAAGTGAAATACTACCTACACTTTCTCACTTCGCACAGAGTACTTGACGTGAGTGAACGAGGGACACTAAAAACCCTAGAGAGATCGCTTCTCGGCCTTTTGACAAAGATCAAGTGTAAAAACCCTAGAGAGGTGACGCTAGAGGAACACCTGCGGCCCCCATTCCCCGACCTCCAGTTTGTCCCACGGGATCCAAGGGCGCCTCCGGCGATTAACCACAGCCAACCACCTCAGAGACTGAAACACTGGCCCGAAACGTCCGCCTTCGGCGACACCGAAACACGGAGGAGGTAGGAAGTCAAAGACGCAGTGGAATGCCGGCAGCCTCCGTCCGAAGAACCCGCCGGAGCCCAGTCCCGAAGCAACCATTGGCTCGCTCCGGCCCCAGCACGTGCGGGGGAACCCCGGCTCCTGCACTCCCCTCGGGCCAGCTCTGCACCTCGCCGCGGCCCGCGCCCCTCAGCTACCAGCCCAGCGCGCCGCCTCCGGCTGCGGCCCACGCGGCGCTCGCCCGGAACATGCGGACCGAGAGGAGCGGACGAGCCTGGCTTGAGGCGGTAAGGAAGGGAATACGCCGTAGCCACGCAAAGCAGATCCTTTTGTACTTCTCTTTTGCCACCTAGAGTTGCTCACCTTTAAGGCCCCGGTCCCACAGAGCCACGCCACAAAAACACTATCAGCGACAACGTCCCCACTTCCCAGCGCCGCTGGCTGGCCTACCGCGCTTAAGGAAGATGGGGGCCTTCCCGGCAGCCCTCGCGGCCCAGTGGGCGGGGCCTCAGCCAGGCCGGAGCGAGCGCAGCGCTAGGAGTATGCGCGCCGGCCCTGGGCTCCCACGGCCCGCGAAGTCCCGCCCCCTCGCCGAGGAGATTGCGTTGAAGAGACCTGCCGGGTATTGGAGGGTGGTAGGGTAAATTAAATATATATTAAGTATTTCTGGACCACGTTTGTATCTCCAGTACTTACTTCGGCTCTTCATGAGTATGAAGTTTTAGCTTTTTTTTCAGATTATACTTTTCAAAAAATTTGTCTTACTTGATCCGTATGAATATCTAAACTATAGATATCTCAAAACAATGGCAAGTGAAATTTTTTAAAAATCAAGGATTCAGGAATCTTAGAGTTGAGAAAACAACAGAGTAGAGCGTTTAGGAGCTGGGAATCTGGAATCTGATTGTCTGCGCTCAAGTAACGGCTCTCCTTTTTACAGACTGTTTTTCGTTGGTTAAGTTAATCAACTTCTCTGTCCCTCATGTATCAAGTGGGGCCAATGATAAATATGACCTACTTCACAGTTGTGAGCATTAATCGTGATACAACATGTACCTTGCTAGGAACTGCCTGGCATATAATAGGAGGAGCAGATGATGTTAATTTAAAACAAACAAAAAGTAATTTAGAAGACCAAGATGCCATCTAGTGCAGAAATCTATTGCCTCTGCTAGAGCCCTTTTCTGTTAGTATACTTTTTGCATGATAATTTAGTCACTGAAGGAGTTTTTTTTTTCTTGTGGTGAGGTAATCTTGATTTTCCCCTCAGTTTTCTTGAAAATTTGAAGTGAAATTGGTGAAATAGCCTTGTTAAGTGATCTCAGGTCTTTTTGGCAGTCCAAAAATAGATCAAATACATTTATTTGGGAGAGGGGAATGCAGTTACAGATTCAATCTAGACATTGCATCAATACAATCAGAAAAAAAATTAATAGATATACTCAAGTAGTATTAATTCAAAATAATCAGGTTCTCTTTTATTTACTCATCAAGTACAGTACTTATCTAGTCTCTACTTTCTGCCAGACTTAATTAAAAAGTTAATTTTCTTTTTTGATCAAGACAGTGAGAATTTAGGTATTTAACAAAACATATCAAATACGTGTCAAGGTACTCTCACTCATCCATTCAGCAGACTATTTATTACATACCTACTAACGTATGTAGGTATGGAGCTTAGCACTGGGAATAAAAAGAAGATCCAGGGGGCGCCTGGGTGGCTCAGTCGTTAAGCTTCCGACTTCAGCTCAGGTCATGATCTCACAGTTTGTGGGTTCAAGCCCCACATGGAGCTCTGTGCTGACAGCTTAGAGGCTGGGGCCTGTTTCAGATTCTGTATCTCCCTCTGTCTCTGCCCCCCATCCCCCTGCTTGCACTCTGTCTCTCCCTGTCTCAAAAATAAAATATTTTTTAAAAAAAGAAGAAGATCCAGACTCTGCCTAGAAACTGAGGGACCTAAACAAATGTAACTGCTCCTTTATACCCTACAGTATCTGGGTAGAACTGCGGTTACAGTCCACTACGAGAAACCACACTTACTGCAGAACATTTATTTAGTGTCCCTTTTGGGTCCCTAGTCCTTTAGTCTCTCTCTCCCCTCCCCTCCTGCTTCAGTCTCTCACCTTCCCTTCTCTCTCCCCTCCTCCCTCCCTCCCCTTCCTACTCTCTTCCAGAGGCCAAGCCCCAAACAGCCACTTCCTTTGGGGAAAATGGATTACTGGTTACACACCTGGAAGCTTCATTTTTTCAGATAAGGCACCAAGAAGACTTTCTCTCTTTCATATCCATCTCTTTCATAGCTTAACTTTATAGGATAACATACTAACTAAAAGACCATCTCTCTGGGTGTAAATTTAGCACAATCACTTTAGACAGCAACTTGGTAATTATCCTCTCAAGTGGGTGATGTGCATAACTGATGGCCCCAAAGTCCACTCCTAAAAACATATTCCAGGGAAATTTTCACATCTATGTACAATAAAACATGTTCAAGAATATTCCCAGCTGCATGGTATATAAATGCAAAGAATTGAAAATTAACTGAATCTCCACTAAACTAGAATGGGTAACTAAATTGTGTTGTAATTAAACAAAGAAAAATAAACTATAGAATGATAAAAACAAATAAACCAGATCTATCTACATTGACATTGACGGAATTCATAAACATAATGCTGAGTTAAAGAAAAAAAACTCTTAGAAGAAATATAAGTAGGCTCACCAGCCACTGTGGCAGTGGAAAATCCCAACATTTGTAAACACTAAGAGGTGGTTATGGCTTCTCCTGTGCCTCTCTCCCCATTTTGAGAACAATTAAACTAGTATAATGGTATTATTCTATTTTGAACATTTAGACTTACTCTATTTGGAATTAGACCTCCAGGTAGACATGTCGCGTAGACAGCTGGTAAATGCATTTGGAAGTTAGGGGAAAAGTCAGAGTTGGAGATGTAAATTTTGGAGTTATTAGCAAATAGAAAACATTTAAAGAAACAGCATTAGATGAGCTGTCCCAGAGAGAGTATAGACAGTGAAGATGAGAAGATCCAGGACTGAAATTCTAGCAATCTAATTTTTTGGCTATTAGATAAAGGAAGAGAAGCCTGTATAGCAGCTGGAATAAGCACAGCCTGAGAGGTGCTAGAAAAATACGGTGCCATGGAAGCTAAAAGGGGAGAATGTTGCAAGGAACGAGTAATTAACTGAGTAAATTCCACTGAGTAGGGCTACAGCCTAGCCACTTTTATCATTATGGCAGAAACTATTACTTATCCCCCAATATTGGAGCTCCTTTTCCTCTATAAAAATACAGTCACCCCTGATTTTTAACCAAGAGCATGGCCAATCAGAAATAAAAGCTACAGGGGCAGCTGGCTGGCCCAGTTGGTAAAGTATGCAACTCTTGATCTCAGAGTTGTGAGTTCAAGCCCTATGTTGGGTATACAGATTACGTAAAAATTAAAATCTTTAAAACAAAAAGGAAAACAAAAGCTACGGTGATGAGTAAGAAGCAGTATATAAAATTGTTGAATCATTATATTGTATACCTGAAACTAACAACACTGTATGTTAATTATACTTGAAGTTTAAAAAGTAATTAATTTTAAAAAATTCAATAACTTTTTAAATATTTATTTTTTAGAGAGAGAGATTGAGAGACAGAGTGCAAGTGGGGGAGGGGCAGAGAGCAAGGGAGACACAGAATCCAAAGCAGGCTTCAGGCTCTGAGCTGTCAGCAAAGAGCTCGATGCAGGGCTCGAACTCACTGACCCATGAGATCATGACCTGAGCTGACACTTAACAGACTGAGCCACCCAGGTCCCCCAAGTTGAAAATTTTTTAAATAAATAAAAGTCGTGTTTTACCAGCCTCCCTTGCAGCTATATAAGACCATGTCTGACTGATGAGATGTGGAAGTGATATGTTCAACTTTCAGGTCATTCTTTTTTTTTTTTTAAGTTTATTTTGAGAGAGAGAGAGAGAGCAAGCGAGCATGAGTGTGGGGGGGAGAAGAGAGAGGGAGAAAGAGAGAATCCCAAGCAGGCTCCGCACTGTGAGCGCAGAACCCAATGTGGGGTTTGAACTCAGGAACTGTGAGATCATGACCTGAGCCGAAATCAAGAGTCACACTCAACCAGCTGAGCCATCCAGGCGCCCCGCTTCCAGGTTATTCTTAAAGAAAACTAATTTGTTCTCTTCCTGCTAGCTAGGTGTTGATACGCAAAACTGGACCAAGCAAAGGAAGGCAACTCCATGGCTGTGGCAAAGCAGCAAAAGAAAGAATCCAAGTCCCTGACAACCTAGAGCACCGTACTAGCCCTGATGTCCTCATAGAATGGATTTACCATTCCAACTTGACTTTAACAAGAGAGAAAGGAAAAAGAAGATGAAAACCTTATGCAAGGCAGATATCTCAATGTTTTCGCCTTTTGGTCAGAGTCTGTCACTAAGACAGATCTGTCACTAAGTGGCAGGACACTCAAATAAATCAAAGCTCCCACCCAAGCTCACCACTCTGAAGGCTGCTTGTGCTTGATTTTTCTGTTTTTGTGTGTGCAAGATGAATTTCAAAGTGCCTAAAAGCCAGAAGTCTAGTGCCTCCTGTAGGAATGGGTTTTTGGTCTTCTTGCTAATAGATGCTTGAATGTGTGACAGAATCCTGTATGAGTCCTGCCTTTATTGTAACGGATCACCAGAGCGTGGGATTGTTGAAGGGACATCTAGAGCTTGCCCCTAGGTCTGATGATTAGAGGCTTCCAAGTTGTTTAAAATCAAGGTCTCCAGCACCATTTATTGAAAAGATTGTTACCATGGCTAGAATGGTTATCCAAATTGAGAAAGAAATGTTTTAAAATACAAGAAATGAAATTAGGCCATGTAAAAAACCCAGGTAGTACATTCATGTTCATAGCAGCTTTATTCATAATAGCTAAAATGAGAAAGCAACCTAAGTGTCTATTGAATGATGAATGAAAAAGCAAAATGTATACAATGTGGTACAGTGGAATTAAATTCAATACTTACAGTGGCATTCAACACATACAATGGAATTTAGTCTTTAAATGGAAAGATACTCTGTGGTATGCTACAGCATGGATGAACCCTGAGGACATTATGCTAAGTGAAAAAAGCCATTCATAAAAACACAAATATAGGATTCCACTTAAATGAGGTACTTAGAGTAGTCAAAGTCATAAAGACAGGAAGCTTAATAGTGGTTGCCAGGGGCTGGAGAGGGGAGAATGGGGAGTTACTGTTTAATGGGTACAGAGTTTCAGGTTTACAAGATGAAAGAACTATGGAGATGGATGGTGGCGACAGTTTTTCAATGTGAATGTGTTTAATGCCATTGAACTGTACACTTAAAAGTGGTTAAGATAGTGTTAAAAAAAACAACAACAACTGCTGCCTACACAAGGCTGATGTTACAAACTGTATCAGAGTCTCAGCAGGAAAAAGTGATATACTCGAATTGGGTAATTTCACGCGTTTAATAAGCCACTTTCCACAAAACTGGAGGCAGGGCATAAATAAACTCTGAAGGAAAAAGCAGTATCCTAGGATAGAACATTAAAGGTTCTATCACCATCTCAAGGGCTGACTGAATAAAACAAGGAAGTGGTGACAAAGAGACCTATCTGGAGAGGGCCCTCACAAGAGTCATCCAACTCATGACAAACCTGCAGGGAAGGAGCCAGGGGAATAAAGGTCAGAGTGTGTGGCCCCGTCCCTCCAATCTGTTACCAGTGGTCTCCTTCAGCTGCACCCAACCAGAGAGCATCAGCCTCCTGGGGGGAGAGTGGATCTAGAGGAGCAAACAGAAGATGCAGCACACAAAACACAGGAACACACTTTGTACAAGGAGAGGAAGAGGATATTTATACTGATTTCTCAAGATCAGAGGTGGATTTACAGTGAAGCTAATGACGTTTAAGCTTCAGAGCCCCTCAGTTATATGGGCTCTTCCCAAGGCCTGGGAGGAATCCTAGTAACATGTTCATGAGAGAGTGTTTTTGTTAAATTTGCAGAAGTAAAATATTTTAACCAAGATCATTAAAACTGGTGTTCTTTCCGTTTCAAATTTCCCTCCATCCCATTTTCCCTAGCGTCTGATAGTGCTACATTGATATGGGCATTTTTATCTGTTTAAGAAGCAGCCGAATTGAGATTAAGCCATTATATCTATAATTTGAACAGATGTTTTAGAACATTTCAATAAAACATGTGAGGAAATTACAGTTCTCAGAGTTATTTATTTATTAAAATTTTTTTAAATGTTTATTTAGTTTTGAGAGAGAGAGACCATGTGAGCAAGGTAGGGGCAGAGATAGAGAGACACACAGAATCTGAAGCAGGCTCCAGCCCCTGAGCTGTCAGCACAGAGCTATTTATTAAAGAACTCAGAAAAATTCAGATAAAATTAATGCAGTATGAAGGTAAAGTGATAAAGAGAATAATAAAGTCAGTGGACAAAATTCTGATTTCAAGAAGCCAATTATACCAAAAAATTTTTAGATCATATAAATAGCAGCAATTTATTAGGAAGAATAAATTCCAAAAAAGAAAGGAATAGGCCTTTTGGATTATTTATAATCCAACTAATGAAGAGGAGAAAATCATAAGAACATATTGTAAATTTCTTTTTAATATTTTAAAATATTTATTTATTTTGAGAGAGAGAAAGCATGCACACAAGTCGGGGAGGGGGTAGAGAGAAAGAGAAAAGAATCCCAAGCAGGCTCCATGCCATCAACACTGAGCCCCATGCCAGGATTGAATACACAAACTGTGAGATCATGACCTGAGTAGAGATCAAGAGTTGGACACTTAGGGGCGCCTGGGTGGCTCAGTCAATTAAGCTCTGACTTTTCACATACAGTCAATATGTGAAAAAAAATGATAGCTTTCCTAAATTTGATAATGCTCATTGTAAAAAAATGTTTATTTATTTTATTTTGAGGTGGGGAGAGAGCACACATGCAGGATGGGCAGAGAGAAAGGGAGAGAAAGAATCCCAATCAGCCGCCACTCTCAGCACAGAGCCCAACTTGGGGCTTGATCTTATGACCACAAGATCACAACCTGAGCTGAAATCAAGAGTCAGATGCTCAACCAACTGAGCTGCCCAGGTGCCCCTAAATTTGAGAATACTCTTACATATTTACAAAGTATCACCAATAGCAATGCCTTTCTAAGTAACCAGTAATAAAAAGCATCGTAGAGAAATTCTAACAATGCTAGAGGCAAGACTGAATTATCTTTATACCATTTCTACAGAAAATATCCTTT